CCATTATCTTCGTCATGAATACTGCTAATCACCATTACTATCATTGTGTTACTGGAATTATCACATTTTAGCAAAATATCATTCTCTCTCCCTTTCTCTCAGTTTATCTTTCTCTATATGTCTATCTACGTCTATCCATACATCTTTCACTTTCTTTTTTTTGCCATGAACCAAAAAATCTTGCTGCATTACAGTTATTTGTAATGTTGCACTGGCAATAACACACATACACACAACTATACACGCACACACTGCCATTTCTGTGTTAGTATCATTCCTTTTGTTCGCTTGCTTTCGAGTGCCACAGGGCCCGACGCAGGGTGTGAGTCACGAGGGCCGGTCTGACCGGGGGAGTTACGAAGGCTCCTCCCGAGCGCAGGTCAGATTTTGGGGGCTCGTGACTCACGCATCCCATCCTCCCCCGCCTTTCTCGTTTTTTCTATCACGTTCTTAAAATATCTGATTTCTCTTACCTAATATTTTACTCTGATTCTCGTCTATCTCGCCATAACCACTTTCCACATGGTTCAGATTTGATCCAACATTTCCACTTACAAAAAACAAACAAATGAACGTCTTTGTGCTGGCCAAGACGGCAACAACTGTGGTCCAGCGGAATCATTTGTTTGGATTCATCTTTTGTGTGTGTCTTACCAAATTAGCATCTTTCTCATAACTTGATAGATATCGTAAATAGGGGCGCCCTCAAGTGATTCCCTTGCAATTTTCGCCAGATTTACATCCCAGCGCGAGACTCACGCCAGGTCAGATCAGTCTCTTTTGTTGATGGCTATACCAAAATAACTTCGTTTAGTGATGACAATAAAATATATATCAGATGGTCTCTGTTCTACCTTTTAATATCAACAACGCTTTTCGTCAGTGCATGATACTGTTACCCTTTTCTCACAAAGCGCACAAATTGCTTTTCCACAGTAACGAAATGTTGTCACAACCAGAGTCAAGGCCGACATGGAAGTGCCTCTCGTTTGTCAAGAAAGAGTAATGAGAGCATGTAATTACAGCATGCCATGAATGTATGTAAGACGTGTCCCTGACCATGCCTTAAAATAACGAGCTATCATGGAATTTAATGAAAATATTTTGTTTAAATAGATGAAAACACTTATTGAAGCCAAACTGATTTGAAAAGGACATGCAATTTGGTCTTCTCTTAACCTTAAGCAATAAACTGTGGTGGGTCAAAGACCGTAACTCGTGACTCAGAGGCCAGCGGACTTGGCATATCCTGGCCCTGACTGGCGATCGCTCACCCTCCCCGCGTCCTCGGCCGCAGCCCCTGACTCACGCTGGCGCTTACAAGAACTCGTTCAGGAGACGCCCAGGCAGACGGCGGGATTCGGGAGTCAAAGATGATAACAGTAAAGGTAATGGTAGTGATGACAATCGAAGTAGTAATGAAATTAATGGTGATGATAACGAATTTCAACAAACAATAATAACAGAAACAACATCACCTACCACCGCTACTACTATTTCTACTACTATCAATACTGTTGTTAGTAGTAGCAGCATTACTAGTACTGCTGCTATTGTTATCACTATTACTACTACGGCTGCTACTACTTATACTAATGGTAATAATAAAAACAATAAAAAAATAATAGTGATAGTAATAACAATAATAGTGATTACAATAATGACTATGATAATGGTGACAGTAATAGTAGTAGCAAGAGGTTAGTAAACAATAATGATAAAAGAGGAAATAATAATTATAATAATGATAATGATGGTAGTAGTGGTAATAATAATAACAATAATAATGATAATAATGATGATAATAATGATAATTGTAATAATGATAATAAAGTAGTTATAGTTATGTAAGCATTAAAAAGATAGTAATAGTAATGATAATGATATTATCATTACAGCTTCTAGTAGCAGAAATGATAATAGTAATAATATAATAATAATAATAGTAGTAGTAGTATTTGTCATAATAGTGGTAATGATAATGATAAAATAAGATTAACAATATTAGTAACAATAAAATGATGATAACAATAATAATGACTAGGAGCACTCAGAGCACGCATACTTCCGCCATGCAATATTAATATCACTGTTGCAATTAAAATTCCTGGATCCGCATCATGATCATGGTCCGCATCTAAGTTAGGCTAGGACGCACCTCTGGTAAAGATAATGAAAATATGTTCATTTTTGAGTTATCCTGCTAACCAACGAGAAAATTAACAAACACCAACACTTCTAAAACATAATCTCCTTGGTGGAGGTAATGATAATGATAATAACAAACATGATAATTTTAGAAATAATAATGATGGTGATAATAGTAATGATAATGATAATAATAACAGTAATAATACCACTACCACTACTATTATTGCAACTACTACGTGATATAAATGATAATAATAATAATAGTAATGATAATAATCACTTTAGTAGTAGGAGTAGTGATAATGATAATAGCAGTAGTAGTAGTAGTACTAATGATAATGCATATCAGTAATGATATCAATAATAATGATAATAGAAATCATAATATTAATGATAATGATAGTAACAATAATGATAATAACGATAATAGTAAAATAATAATAATAATAATGATATTGATAATGATGAAGTGAAGATGATGATAATGATAATGACGATGATGATGATGATAATAATAATGATAAAACAATGGCAACATCATCATCATCATCAACAACAACAATAATAATAATAACAATAATGATAGTAATGATAATCGTAATGGTAATAGTAATAATAATGATAGTAACAATGATAGTAATAACAATAATCATGATGGTGATAACAACAATAATCATGATGGTGATAATAATAATAATAATGATAATAATAATAATAATAATAATAATAATAATAATAATAATAATAATAATATAATAATAATAATAATAATAATAATAATATAATAAATATATAAAATAATAATAATAATATGATAATAATGATAATAATAATAATAATAATAATAATAATAATAATAATAATAATAATAATAATAATAATAAAAATATTAATGATAATGATGATGATAATAATAATGAGGATAATGATGATGATGATGATGATGATGATGATGATGATGATGATGATGATGATGATGATGATGATGATGATGATGATGATGATGATGATGATGGTGATGATGATGATGATGATAATAATGATGACAGTAATGATAATGATGATAATGATAATAGTAATAATAATAATAATAATAATGATAATAATAATAATAATAATAATAATAATAATAATAATAATAATAATAATAATAATAATAATTAATAATATAATAATAAATATAGTAATAATGATATAAATAATGATAATGATGATAATGTTAATAATTAGGATTATAATAATAATGATAAAAATAATAATAACAATGCAAAGGATAATAATAACAATAATAATGATAGTAATAATAATGATTATAATGCTAATAATAATGATGATGATGATGATGATAATAATAATAATAATAATAATAATAATAATAATAATAATAATAATAATAATAATAATAATAATAATTAATAATAATAATATAAAATAATATATATAATAATAATAATGATAAATGATAATAATAATAATGCTAATGCTAATAATAATGATAATAATAATAATAATAATAATAATAATAATAATAATAATAATAATAATAATAATAATAATAATAATAATAATAATAACTGATAACAATGATAATAACCTTTATAAAAATAATGATAATTATTGTTATTATATTGATAATAACAATAACAATGATAATAATAACAAGAAGAACATCAGTAATCGCGATGATAATAATAAAAATAACAATAATAGTAATACCATCAATGTCCATTTCATTATGATATGTTTATAATAGTAATATCAATAATAACTTCAATAACGTTACTGATAATAAAAACAGTGATTATCAATAAAGTATTGGATTAAGGATAATAGTAATAGCAAGAAGAATAATTATTTTGTTATTAATTACAATGCTAATGATGATGAATACAGTAATGAATAATGGTATGATAGCTGCATAAACTGCAGTACGAAACTAACGGTGGGTAAATATCAGCGGGGAATTCTAAATGAAATCCCGCTGAACTGCTGAGGCAATACCCACGCCGTTTGGGCACGATTCTCATGGCATGGATCCCGTGGAAAGTTTCAGGGCACTAAATGTTTATAGTACTGTAGGTTATGACGTAACCATTTATTATGCATGGGAAAAGGAATGTACATTTTAATCGTACAAACAATATGCATTTGTATGTGTCTGAGATCTTCAAAATTTAGGCAGTGACATTAAGATAATGAATACAAACTTATTTTACACGAATTCCGTGGCCGCGGCGGAACTTTCCTCTGGAATTTACTGTACGGGATATAAAGTGTCCCCTCATTTTATACTGTTTACAGATTCTTTCAGCCACAGGAAAGTGACCGCTAAAATGCCTTTGCTTGCAGGGTGGACAGGCAGCGAACCGCAACATCACACACCACTCTCTGGCAGCCATTTCCGCAGAAGTTTAATCTGAAAATATCTTCCAAATTGCTTTCCTTGTCTTGCTCTCATCAGTCCCTCCACCTTCTTTCTTGTATGCATTTTTCTGGCCTCTGGCCTCGGCTTTTACATTCCATAAAAGCCTCTGACTCATACCGGTAAATTCAATAAGAAAGCTGTTATCTTCGAGGTTCTTGTTATCAACCGAAATACCCACTCACTTGGTCTCTCCTTCTAGCCTACCCTCTCGATAAGGGGCAATATAACAGACTTTTATTGCCGCTATGCAGACGTAGGAGAATTTACGAACAATAAAAGACGATCGCGAGAATGACGTGTTTGTTCGACATTTAGGAAACGGGCGGCCAAACATTGCCACACCTTGATAGGCACCGAGAGAACTTCCGCTGCGTCGTCTTAGCGGCTTCCGTTCTAGGGTATATATAATTTTCACTTGCTCTCCATCTGACACACTGCTCATCCACCTCTGGAGTGAGAAGTACCACAGAGAGAAAAGAGTGACTTTATAAATCTCAGGTTCTTTTCGAATAGAGAAAACAAGTTACGCGACACAACGATGAATATATTAACAACTATCTCATTGCTACTCCTGGTTTGGGCGACTAAACATGCGAACGCACAGGTTGAGCTCCCGGATGTCATCATCGGCGACCCCAATGATGTGAGTATTATAAGGCTTTGGGCATTCTCACTCCATAAGCAATCAGTCGCAGATTACTGAGCAGTACAATTCGCTTTTTTGCTATTCTTAGGCATCAAATGTCGGACAAGGCTGTAATCAATGCCTTCCCGGTTGATGGTCTTGCCTACTGATGATCCGATTTTCTCGTCAGGCGAGCAATGACGTCGTGGGCGCCCCGATTTCAGAAAAGGAACTAGAGGACAGTCTGGACCTCGACCTGGTGAACCTGCAGACGGAGGAGGACCCCATCACCACATCGGGGTTCTTCCAGGGCGACATCATGGTGGCGTCGGAGGATCAGCTGTATCAGATCCTGGAGGTGCGCTTCTCGTCTTTTGTTTGACCTTTCACAAACCTCTTCGCCGTGCCAACTGATGCAATTCTGGCAAGGATTAGTATTAAGAGGCGACCGTTTCAGTGCAGTTATGTGAAATCGTAGGCTGTGGTAAAATATTATATCTAGTAGTTTAGTTATTGGCGTCGCATTTGTTGTTGTAATATTATTATTATTATCATCATCATTATTATCATTATCATTATTATTATCATCATTATTACTATTACTATTATTATCACTAATACCATTATTTTTACTGCTATTAACATAGTTGATTAATACTATTATCATTAATATCTATTATAATTATCATTGTTGTTGTTGTTATTGTTTTAATCATGATTATTATTCACCTACACACACACACACACACACACACACACACACACACACACACAACACACACACACACATATATATATATATATATATATATATATATATATATATATTATATATAAGTGTATGTATGTGTATATATATATATATATATATATATATATATATATATATATATATATGTTGTGTTGTGTGTGTGTGTGTGTGTGTGTGTGTGTGTGTGTGTGTGTGTGTGTATATATATATATACATATACATATATATATATATATATATATATATATTATATTATATATATATATATATGTACACACACACACACACACACACACACACACACACATGTGTGTGTGTGTGTGTGTGTGTGTGTGTGTGTGTGTGTGTGTGTGTGTGTGTGTGTGTGTGTGTGTGTGTGTGTGTGTATGTATATATATATATAATATATATATATAATATGTATATATTATGTATATGTATATATATATATAATATATATATATATATATATATATATATATATATATATATATATATATATATATATATTATATATATACATATATAATATACATATATATATATACACATATACACATATATATATACATATATATATATATATATATATATATATATATATATATATATATATATATATATATATATATATATATATATATATATATATATATATATATATATATATATATATATAAGCGAATTTTTTACCGTGACACTTTGTCTTCAGGGCGATTCCGACGGCCAGAACAGCGCTATCAGAAACCCTCAGAAATTATGGCCGAACTCCGCCATTCCCTACGTCATTTCTGCTACGTTTTGTAAGTAAAACAGCGACCTTTTCTAAAAGTGTCTGGTTATAAGAGACGTGCATTTTCTTCAATGTTACCTAGGTGTCTAAATCAATAATGTATGCAGCACTTACTGAGCCCTGCGCCTTCCGCAGCGTCGCAGGAGCGAGCGGTGATCGCGCGCGCCATGGCCGAGTACCGGCAGAGCACGTGCATTCGCTTCGTGCCGAGGTCCAGCCATGCTGATTACATTCATATTCTAAGAGGGCAAGGGTAAGTCAGCAATTTCTTTGCACTTATTCAAAACTATTATTTTTTTTACTTATTCATGCGGGTCTTCTTCCATATTCTTAATTTTCTATTATTCTTGTCCATATATGAAACTATCCTATAAAATGCTTGACACGATATTTTCAGGTAAATTGCCTTTGCTCTTACACATTTCCGTGTATAACCACGGACTTTGGTGTGTGCTTTGACGTGTGCAATAGACAGATGCTTTACATTCGTGTTCCCTTAGGTGTTCCAGCGCCGTGGGTCGGTCGGGTGGCGTTCAAGTGGTGTCCCTCGGGTACGGCTGCGTCCAGATCGGAGTGGTCATTCACGAACTGATGCACGCCGCAGGATTCTGGCACGAACAGTCGCGTCCAGACAGGGATTCGTTTGTGACTATCAACTGGTCAAATATAGTCCCACACCTTCAGTATAACTTCGAGAAGGTTGGTATCCGGGTCCGGATCACACACACACACACACACACACACACACACACACA